AAGAGCGATGGCCTCCAACCTACTAGCGATGGCCTCCACCCTAATAGCGATGGCCTCCACCCTAAGAGCGATTGCCTCCACCCGAATAGCAATGGCCTCCAACCTAAGAGTGATGGCCTCCAACTTAATAACAATGGCTTTGGCTCGCTCTAGGTGATTACCACAAGCCCTGTACCCAGCCATCCTTCGACGATGTGCCTTGAATTCTGGAAAAGCGCGACTTTAATGGCTGTGGCATGACAATCCTTTTTTGCCGACAGTGAAAGACGCAAACATGTAAGAGTGTTAAAGAAGGAGGTGACTCCAGACCTTCTCAGCCATCGCTTCAATCAAAAATGCTCCGACGCGGCAAAGATGATCGAATCTGAGGATGATCGAAGCTGTTATTGCCAGCTTTCAAAGAGTTAAAGGTCTGGCAGAATGTCCGTTGATCATTGTTTGTGACGGCCGCCTGGCAGACAGCGTAGCAATACGTGGCAGATGGTCTTGAGCAGCGCGGAAATAGAAGGAGAAACCAGTCAATGGTATAGTGGCCCAAGAAGGACTTTCCACACAAGTAACCTTCCCTCGGACAACCTGAGTCTTGTACTGAAGTTTGAAGCCGCAAGTTCAACAGTTACAGTAATGCTTGCACCACCGTTTGTAGAAGGCACCGAACGGTCTACGAAGCGGAGTGAAATGCCTGCATGGCGAACAGTACATTTATATATTGACTGCGCACGAGTAGATAGGACCAGTGGTTTCTGCGACACTTGCTGGGGACAACATTTGAGGACTTTCTGTGACAATATTTGTTCACATCACATATGTTCTTCCGTTCAGTGAACCTGGTAGAGCAATGTAGAGCACAGGAATTTGGTTTTGTTGCCACAAATGAGGTTTCAAAGTGGTCAAGAAGACCACCTGGAAAGCTGGGAAGGCTCGACGAAGACGGGACTGTTCGATGTTCCATGATGTTCCCATTTGAACGCTTGAAGACCCAAATCGGCCCAGTGATTTCATTGAGAGAACAAACAGCATGTTAGATGGTTTGACTTGAGAAAACATGCAGGTTACTGAGGAGAAGGCTGCAAACTACGAGGAGTTCAAATGCGCAACTCAGCTGTCACTGCAATTGCACCCTGCGTGTAGATGCACAATCCCTGTCCGCATACAACAGGCATGCAACACTGTCGCTGTCAAAGTCCTGACCCTGCTGAACACAGCCAAATGGCTTGCTGTTCTGAAACGTTTTCCATGGTTTTCTGTTCGTGCTCAGAACTTGAAGAAGTTGCAAGATGCCGGGCAGCTACCAGCAGGCGGCCAAGCGGCTAAAGCAGGGGTCTTTGAAGACTATGTGTGAACGTCAATCCAAAACACGTGTCCCAACTGATTTCAATGCTTTTGAAGGTGAAGACCAAGCAAAAGTCATGTTTGCTTCCAACATCTTCCAACATTGACCTGACAATTCTGCTCGGGCTCGAAGGTTGAACATCAGAAGTGCAAGGTGGAAAGGGGCAGCTTTTGAGGCCTTTTTTCATTGGTGCCAGGTAGCAAACTCATCATCCTGCAGGGCCACAACGGACAGGCGGGCCGATACCTGCTGTGTTTGAACCAGCTTGGCTGCTACTGTAGTCAACTCCTTGTCTACGATGTTCAAGCAGCAAAACTGCATCAACCTAATAGCAATCGCCTGCAACCTTCACGTAACTCTTCCTTTTTCATTCCCTTCCTGTTGGATTTCCAGAGTTTTAACTTGCAACCGCAAGGCCTAGATAGCAGCCTCCAGTGGCTTCAACACACGAAGCTTGAACTTAGACATTGCGAGACAGCCCCAAATCACAACTCACGACTCACATTTGCGAGTTGTTGTCAGCGTAAAATCAATCCCGAGCCCTAGCACTCTGCCTAGCATGCCTGCTTTACTGCCGCAACGGACTCTATCCGTGCACCTAGGTTGCTTTGTGTGGATTGCAGTCCGTTCAAATCTGTTGCCAACTCTATGATCTCTTCAATCAAGCCATTCATCTCTTTATTCAAAGGATGCACCGTGATTCCCACGACCGTTCTTTTTTGTTTGTTTTCTTCCGTTTCGGGTCCCACAGCTGCAGGCGATGGCCGTGAAGGCCGCGCTTCAGGAGGTTGATACTCCACTGGTCTGCCGAGCACTCGGGGACCCGGAGAGTGTGGCGTTTGGCGTCGGGCTCCATATGCTCCATTGGAATTCATTGGAAGATTGAGGACAAAGTATTTGTCAAGCAAGGAGCAAGCATGATGTGAGTTCCGTACACATACAGAATTGACACCGATCAAAAGCTGCAGCAAGACTCCCAAAGAGTTGAACCTGATGGGGATCCCTTTGGTGCTAAGGTATCCATCAGCATGACTTGGAATTCACCGTTGACTTCTGCTGGCAGCTCAGGATGGACGAGCATATGCTCACTTTCTTTCAGTCTGCAGAGCTCACTATGTGCTTGCATTAGTTACAGTTCTCTCCTTGCTTATTGCCTTTCTGGGACTTGCTCTTGTTTGCTGCTCTCCTTTCCAGTTGGAATCCTAAATAAGACCCAGCCAACAGGCGTCTACATTCAGACACATCCTACCAGTTTTCCTACCAGTTAACCTCTTCTTAGGCCTTGAAAAGGTGCTGGATGTTTTGGAGGACGAGGCCACTCCAGTCAAGTATGTTGGCTTGCCGCTGCTGGTCCCTTGGCGGGAGGTGCGAGCAGCAGGACGACAGTTTGAAGAATGTCAAGATGCCATTGCTACTGTAGAGGAAAGCCGGCCAAGTTGAGTAAGTGTCAGGAAGCCAAAGAGCATGATGTGGATTCGAGAACGATGTGAAGGGAGTGCAGTTCCAGTTTCTACCCTCGCTTTGTTTTTGACGTCAATCCAGGACATTGCAGACTCCCAAATTTGAGGTGAACCTGCACTATGAAGCCATTGCTTTCCAGCACCATGGTGTCAAGGCCACCTGATGCAGAATCTTCTGAAATGGACTTGTGTAGTCTGGAACAGACCAGGGTGAATCACATCTTGCATCATTTTGCAAGATCGGTGAGTCTTGGTTTGTCCTGCAGAACAAGGACTCACTTGTGGAAGAAGTCAAGGCATTCATCTCCAATTGACCAGGCTTATACAACCGTTTCCCCAAATCTTGGTTCTCAATCGAGAGCAGTAGTATGCCCGGAGCACTAGGTGAGGCTTTAGTACCCACCCTGACAACACACAGAACGACCCATCTTTCCGCAGGTAAAGGTTGAAGAGTACCAGGGGCTCAGCTTTATGCCGATGCTTGCTGAATTGATGGACACTGTTTTGGATGATGTCGAGATCAAAGGTCTGTAGGTGAAGAAGAATGAAAGATGACAGGATCTGTCGGGTGTGCAGATTGATTTTGAAGTATCATGCTTCTTGATCAAAGAGGCACGTGTTGATCTGGCTGATGCGTTGGAAGCATCACTCAAGCTGAGGATCATTTTTTGGTATGAGGCTTGGCGAACTCTGGTGGAGCGTGCTCAACAACGTGTACCTGGAAAGTGTGTTGGAACGAAGTTGTAGAAGGAAACCACATTTGGCATGCTAGGCTGCAAGCCCTAGCTCCAGGTCACTCGCAGGTGCTGACATAATGGGTAGAATTTGTTTGGCTTGTTGTCGATTGATTTGGGTGGAGAGAATTTTGATGATTAATTTTAGGATGTTCCCATGCCCGGATGGCATCCGAGGACAGCACCCATATTACTTCTGTGAAGCACTACATGTCGCTGGTGTTTGGCATGGAGCAGACCTACTCAGCTGGGAACTTTGTGGAAGAGACCTTCGGTGCGACTCGACAGAAAGAGCGGAGTGAAGTGGAGGGGGCTGCAACATGTTTGCCTTTGTTCAATTCCTTTCAGAGGCGAACGAAAAGGCGTCAGCTGCAGATCACCTGTGAGGGTTTCGTCATCTCCTTGATTCGCATGATATGGCCTTTCGGGCTGAAAACAAGGTACGCCAAAGAAACGACATCATGGCCAACGGCATGGGTGATGGTGTCCATGCAAAGTATGGCACGCATCTTAGGCTGCAAATTGTCAAAGATTTTGCATTAAAACGATGACGGGGGCTGCAACAGGTTGCTTGTTTGAGACAGCATAAGCACTTTTAGATCCAGCAAGTGGAACTGATTGAATTCAGTTTCTAAACTGTACATTATCCCGGGATATCACTGGACACATTCGCTCGCATGCATCTACACATTGGCTGCGCGGCAAAGATGCTTAGGTACCATTGCATTTCCATGTCATCGGATGGCTTGCGGCGTCCGCTGATTTGCCACCTCAATGGGGTTCGCTTTTTGACGCCTCAGCAGCGAGAAGCTCTTGGATTCTGGTCCGTGATAGTGTGAAATTCTAGCAGCCTGATGCTGTGGTGTATCGCAATTCCCCGCAAGTCGATTATCGCTCCTTCACAAAAGAATGCGAGTCTTGGAGCAACAACAGGAGAAGGGGAAGAGCGAGAACGTTCGGAACCAAAGAAAAGATCCTCACCATGCTGCCAGACCACAATAGGACACCCCCGAAACCTACAGTCACTTCAGATCCGAATCCGAGGATATCCTCCAGATCCCCCAGCCGCTTGATGAAAGTTTGACGGAAAGATGCTGTCTGCATGGGTTTGACGTGGTTTCACTGTTTGTTTGACTCGCTGAACTGGCAGTCGACACACGGAGTACTGCACCTTTCTATAACTTTTCCCATGAAGAAACAAGGTGCTGATGCACATGCCGACAGTGTCTCTGCAATTGTACTTCTCATGTTGGAAGACAACGCCTACAAGACATCTAAGGATAAGATTCTTGGACTTGAGTTGGCTCTCATTCTGGTTCGCATCACCTTCTGAGGTTGAATTCTATCCGAGCCGCACAATGACTAATCGAAAGCAGAGGAAGGCTGGCAGTGTCAGTGGCGGCCTCCACCGCTTTTGAGCAATCTTGGTGATTTTAGGGTTTTGATCCACAGGCTGGGATCAGGTGTTTCAATATGTTTCAGTTGCCTACAGCTGCACGGCTGTATTGGCTTGATATATTGGGTGACACCTACGATGCTTGAGAGGCACCGAGCACCTCCACAGACTCAAAAGCAAGTCTAGGGTTGGTGATCCCCTTTCCCTCGATGAGAAGAAAAGAGATAGCAATCGTTGGCGCGTTTCAGGTGCGTCATATTCTGGATATCGTCCTCGAGCTGGCCGATGCCGCTTGGAGTGGCTGACTCGCCAAGGCGTGATCCAATGAAACCAACCCAGTAGAGATGGCCTCCAATGTGGCCACCAACCTAAGACCGATGGCCTCCACCTCAATTGCGATGGCCTCCAACCTAAGAGCGATGGCCTCCAACCTAATATTTAGCGATGGCCTCCAACCCCATTGCATTCGCAACATTTGCATTCGTTTTGGCAAGTTTGAAGTACCAAATGGTTTGTGGTGTTTCAATGGATTTTGCAACATGAACAGGGATTGGCAACTGAGGTTGACATGGAGTTCTCTGCAGCTGTGCGGAACATCCTGGCACACATGTTGAATGATACACGTCTCCAGCCAGCAAGTCATTTCACCTGTTCGAGATCGTTGGATGTCCAAACGTGAAAAGGACATGAGTAATCAATCACGAAAGCGAGCTCCGAAGGAGGTCTGGGGAGAGTTAGAATTGAGAGTTGCAAACAAAAGCTCGAATTGACTTATCACTACAAAAGGCGCCACCCTCAGGACGCATGCATCGCAAGCATCATTTGAGTGTGAGCCAGCTTAACAAAGATGGTGTTCGAAAATTTCCATGCAAGTCTTGTTGGTGACACTAGCGCTGAAGAGACTAGACCATCGCCTGCATTGGTACGTACATTCTTTTGTGACTGGTGGTGCAATGAGCAAAGTATGGTCTCGCTTTCATTCCTTCTCAAGTTGGATGCTGAAGACGCCATGAATGCAACTGGACTTGCGGGGAAGCGTATGTGTAGAACATTCAGAAGAATTTCAAGATTGATAAACATTCATCAATGGTCATCTCAGGCTTAAGAAATAGTAAACCAACTACTTCATGCCTTCCAAAAAAACATTCATATAAATAGAACATATTTATATATTTTATATTATTACTACTTATATATTATATTACGATAAGGCCTACCAACAGGCGCGAGCGCGCGCAATTCGGCCAAGCCAAAAATCCCAAAAATCTGCCAAGATTTTTGGATTTTTAACGAAGACACTTTCTTTTTGGGGGTTTTATATTACGAAAGGTAGCGGTTATATTACCTGAATTTTCCTTTTGCTATATGAAATATTGTTTTAGTGGTCGGGGGGCGCCTTTCTGGTTTTTTAAAATTTATTTTGATATCGTTTCCAAACCAAAATTGTTAATTATATATTAAATAATATTAATTATATTATATCCCTTCGAACGATTAAGTTAAAATATTAATTATATAATTAATCTATTTATTAAATATAAATATCCGAATAAATATTAAATATTAATATATAATTGTATAAAAACATAATGGTATATATAAATATAATTATTTAATAGAATATTTAATAAATAGATTTATAATATTATATTTTAAAATTACCAATTATATATTTATAATTCTATCGATTTAGAAATAATCGAATAAATAATATATATGTATTAAATATTATAATAAAAAAACACAAACATTTTAAAATAATTTAATTATCTCGAAATAAATTTATTCCAAAATATAATTTTATTTTTAAAAAATTAAAAATTTAAAAATTCTAAAATAATTTAATTATATATTTGCTTTTATTAATAGTAAATCCGAATATTAAAATAACAAAAATATATAAAATTAATAAATAAATAATATCAAATAACATATTTAAAAAAAATAAATATTCGATCATTTTTATAATTTAAATATTTCAAAAACTATATTATTTACAATATATTTTATTAAATAATCCCAAAAAATTTATAAATTATTATTGGTTTAAAACTATTTTTTTCTCTACATAATATGGATGCATTGAGGATAGATCGTTGAAGCATGCGATCGTATCCGATTAATTCATTATTATTTATAATAAATTTATGCCTTTCGACAGGCTTATAAAATCTGGGTGCCTCGGCCGGGTGCTCCTAACGATTGCGTTTGTATTGTGGTGTCGCACATATTTCCACCTATGATGGTTATTTTTCGTGGCAGGGAAATCTTGTTGTTTTCATATTCAAAAATCGATGTTTCGTAATAGGTGCAAGGGATCGGAGCTATTTTATTTCGATATAGATTTTTCGTGGTAGGTGTAGCACTTTGGAATTGATTCTGATCGTCGAGGAATTTAGATTACGTGATAGGTATAGTGAACCGTGACTTTTGGTTATGTGGCTCGTTTGCAGATTTCGTGGCAGGTGCAATACTCGGAGAAAATTGAAGTGCATATTTCGTAGCAGACACATCATTTAATGAACCTCGAAATATAGATTTCGTGGCAGATGCAACATCGAAGTGCAGATTTCGTGATAGGCATAATACTTGTTGAACCTCGAAATATAAATTTCGTGGCAGGCGCAACCTCGAAGTGCAGATTTCCTGGCAGATACAACATTTGGTGAACCTCGAAATATAGATTTCATGGCAGATGCAACCTCGGCGTGTAGATTTCGTGGCAGGTATAGCATTTGGTGAACCTCGACGCCCAGAGTTCGTAGCAGGCACAATAATTGATGAATCTCGAAATGCAGATTTCTTGATAGGCGCGGTACTTTGTGAACCTCGACGTGCAGATTTCGTAATAGGTACAATACTTTATGAATTTCGATGTGCAGAATTCGTAATAGAGTCAACTCTAAGAATCTTAGTCAGAACAAGGCAACTCTGAAGCAGCGTGCCTACTTAGCCTGGCTGATCTGTTGGGTATCTCAATATCGTTCACGCGTCCTTCTTCTCAGCGCTGGTGGGTCAAAATAGATGAGTGGGGACATTGCCAAAAGTGGTCTTTCTGGGGGCTCGAGGCGCGGGCCTTATGGTTACTAGCCGTATGCTCTAACCAATTGAGCTATGAAACCTTCTGACTCGTGGAGGAGCCAAGCGCTTGAAAATGGGCCTCTAGGATGCAAGCTATAGAAATCCATGGACGTCGAAGCTGCGCACATGACCATTCTTTACTTTAGGCGCACTCAAATTTTCATCCACCGAGTAGAGATTTGACAGGAATTTAATTGGCAAAGATTTTTATGCATCGCAAGACACAAAGATTACCACGATATTCTGGTCATATCCTTGCCAAATATCTTCGAATTTTCTTTCAAGATATATAAAATTCATTATATTCAAATATATTTGATATGGGAATATAATTATTGCATTTTTGAATCGAAAGAATTTCTAAATGAATGATAATAATGCCTTTAATAAGGCATAGGATTCTATTTCTATTTTCGAGGATTGGTGCAATATTTAAAAAACTACTTCTTAATGAAGAATTATATTTGATTAATTAAGATATTTTTGAAATATATATTATTTAAACCGATGAATATTAATAATGAATCTCTATTATTGGTATTCTATTAAAATTTTAAAATAAAATTAGATTTTTAAGGATATAATTAATCTACTATTAAGATAAATGATAATATAATAGATTTTAAAATTGAATAAATGGAATTCTATTGAATTGTAAATTTATCTATTGATTTCTATTTTTATATAAATATAGAATATTATAATATATTTTAAAAATATAATATATTTATATCTTTTAGAAAGATTTTATTATATTAGATAAAACAATTTACGAACGAATATAATAAGATACATAATTATTCAAATATAATTATTGAACGATTTTTTTATTTACGATTTTTTAAACAGACAGATACATAAAGATATTATATTGTTTTATTTTTATATTTATATATGTTCTATTCTCCGGAATATAAGATAAAATAATGAATACATATATTATTCATTAAAACCAATCTGAATTTTGCTTAAATTTTGAATTTTATAAATATTGCATATTATTTATACATATTAAATCGCATAAAACAGATTATTTTTATGCATATTTCAAATTCCCCCTAAAAATAGAATTTAAAATTAAAAATATATATAAAATCAAATGTAATTGCGATAAAATTATTGAACTAATCTTCCTATTTTATTAATACGATATTCTAATATTATAATCATTTAAAACAGAATACATTATGTGAATTAGGCTATACACGATATCTTCCCGCCCAATATTGAAATTTATATGTTCTTACCTAGACTAAAACGAAGCATTTTGATATGACAATAATGTTGGAGCCTGATTAGTAAATAGGTCCTCAATAATGCTATTTTTCAAATTTATTCCAGACCCCATAATTGAAAAATGGATCCTGAATAATGCTAATTTTTTTTGGGACCCTAAATCTATATATTGGAAAACTAATTAATACGGATTTGAACTCCTTCTGAACCCTGTCCACTTGCACTCCCCCCTCCCTTCCCAGGCAAACAGCCAGCAACAAAGCAAAACACAGACAAACAGACCACCAAGAAGATGTTAACTAACTAATTGCAACCCTAGTCCTTGGCTGAGGAAAGCCTGCTTCTTGGCCTGAGCTGCTTGTGCAGGTGGAGTCTGAGGCACTTGTAGGGGTCACAGGCCAAGCAACCAGATTGCCACCTGCACTTAGCACACCTGCCCAGCGCAACTTCTAAGGCTAAGACAGACTTAGTAGCAGACTCAAACACGATACTTAATAAAATATATTCTATCAATATATATATAATCGGCATTCCTGGCACTGCAATTTTCTTGCAAATCTATATTCTTTTGAATTGATATTATCGAGACAATTGCATAAACAACACTTGCATCCAATAGGAACACCGGAATACCTGATCAATTGATAAAATATATCAAAACAAAAAATGAGCAAACAAAATAAGCAACACATATTTTAAATAATCCCCCCCCAGAGGACAAACCTCTAAACACATGTTATTTATATTTATCCACATGAATCAAGAATTTCCACAAAATGCTCTCCTGATAATGCAACTTTCTTGGCAAACATTAGATTTTCTCGTAAATATATGTATGTTCTTTAAATCAATATTTATCAAGAAATTTGTATTTCCAGGAGGACACCCTGATAAGATGTGTCAAAATAGTTACTTTGTGAGGAGGGCATTCTACTAACCTTGGAAAAACACTATATTGCCAGGAATGCATTTTGCAGAAAATTCTGCACTTTGTGGGCATTTTTTCAAGAAAATAAATTAAATCATACCAACAAAACATAAATAGGTCCTCTATGGGAGGATTCAATCAAGACTCTCATACTCGGTAAAAGATTACCACTCCAAGGTAGGAGGTCTTTCCAACGATCGGTACTGTAAGAATCGAGTTTGGCAGGTGGAGCAGAGGATCTTTGACCGATCTATTCGTCCATTTTTTGATGAAGGAGGGCAACGATTTGCCAATAAGTCTCACTAGAGCCACGCTTTTGTGCGGATTGATCCGTAGGCACCAAACATCATGAAAAGGACAATCAATTCATGAATTGCAACGAGGCTGTCCTATATCGAATGCACGATCCACCGCAGGCCCAAATCATGAACAAACACTGTAATGTGATCAACAATCCAGGACTTATTATATCGAGCAAGGAGGTCGTTGAGAATCAAATACATGGAAAGATTCAAAAAGAACGGATTATCTTTCGAACCTTGTTTGCTCCCACCAGTGGCCTGGATTTTGCCGATCAATTCCTCATATGAAATAAAATAGGTATGGGGGCAAGGCATGAGTGCACTAGGGATGGAAGGTCAGGAGACAAGTCAAAAACCTTGAATGCCCTGGAAATAAATATGCGATTGATAATGTCAAAAGACTTTTCCAAATCCAGGGAAATCTGGATGTCACCCCACAATCCCTACTTCATGATGTCTTTGCAATGCTCTTTGCACAATGCTCTCACCACGTTGCAATGGGAGGAAATAATCAGAAGATAATCTTTAGTGCCACGGTGAGGCATGTACGCAAACAATGGCAATTGACGGAGAGATGAAAATGCATGCTGTTGAATCAAACGACAATGAGTTCCTGTCATGGTTATTCATGGGGTAATGAAGATAAATCGGTCGAAGAGC